ATGCCCAATCCGCATCCAATCCGAATTTTTCGGATTCTCAAAACTCTCATCCATATCCAGATTTTTTCCCCTTCATCCGAATATTCGGCCCAACCGAAATTCGGTTCGGTTCGGTTTTGGTTTTGAATTTGCAAAGAGTTCTACCCAAAGACTTATGTTGTGAATTTACAAGTTGGGCATTGTCCGCATGATGAGGTTCATGAGCTCGCCAACAAAGCTTTATTAGACTGGTTATCATCTTTAGAATAAAGTTTTGAGTTGATATAATTACGCAGAGAGCTGATGTTTTAAAGATGTTGTTCATATAATACAACATGCTTATCTCTTGTAAGTATCATGTACATAACACATTTTGTGATTGATTTGAATCTTATGTAATTCTCAAGATCTTTTCTGCGAAATTTTTTAACTAAAGTTTAAGTTTATTTAATTACACGGGGGAGTGATGTTTTGTATGATATTGTTCATATAATGTAGCATATGCATCTTTTGTAAGTGCATCATGTGCATAACAAATTTTCTGGATTGATTTGAATCTTTACTTAGTTCTCAAAGATATTTTTCTGTGATATTGCTGTACTCATTGCCACCCCACAATTCTTAAATGCTAAACATTCAGCCATAAATTTTCTTCACACCCAAGGCTCGCAGCTACTTTTTGTTTAAGAATTCGGTTCGGTTTTTTTTGGGCGGTTCAGGGGTTCAAACCGGATCCAAACCGATTTAATTCGGTTCGGGCGGTTTAGAGACTTCTTCTCATCCATTTAATTCGGTTCGGTTAACCGGTCCGTTTTTTCGGGCGGTTTTTTCGGTTGAACCGGTTTTTTTCGGTTTTTGCCCACCCCTACTGCGTTTGGTGGCTTTCCGAGGTTTTTGCGAGATTTAAAAATCCCAACATACTTTACTATGCAAACATAAAAGTATTCGCACGAATGTTCCCATAAGACACTCACATGATAATTATGTTAACTACCATATGAAAACATTCGGGTGACTAATCTAAACAACTTAAGATATATAAAATGTTGCAAAAAAAAAAAAAAAACAAATAAAAGATATAAGTGCAAAGTAAGTGAAACTATAAGGTATCTAACTGCTACATAGCCTAATAACAAACTAGTCCATCACTCTATATTTTGCTTGCTAGTGATTGTTAAAAATCATATAATTGAGGGTCAATTTTGGGGTTGTGACTGAATCGATGCTCACTGTGTTTGTCTTATAATTGGACATACGTACCTATGTTTTAATTCTTTAGATGACGAGACATGTAATTAAATACTAATTGGATCATTCACTTCTAACACATTCTGTCAATTTGAGTAAGTATATTTTCATTTATTTTTAAGCAATACAATCTACTCACTATGTCATGAGTTAATATTTTTAAGAATAAAATACCAAATGAAATATAATTACTCAATATAAGCTGTCCAATATGTCACAAGTTTTATCCCGTTAGTGTCCAAGATATTATGCATTGGAGTAAAGACCTAAAGATGGAAAGTCAAGTGATCAAGATTTTCTTATGTCACATTAGCTAAAACTCATTATGTTTATTGACAGAAAGCATTAGAAGTGATTAAGCATTCAATTAATATTTAATTACATAACTATCTAATTAAAATATCTATATCTATAAGCTATATAAAAAAAAGTCGAAGCGAAAGCAAATTCGCGAAATGTGGGTCCCACAAGACACTTTCTTAATTTGGAAATTCCATGTGGCATCACTTTCTTCTTCTTTCAGTGACGAGAAAGCAAAAAAGTAACCTATCCTTAGAGCATGGGCAGCAAGCTCCCAAGCCCGCTCTCAGCTCCGAAGTGGCCAAGCTCTCCAATTTAACCTCCTCCAACAGCCTCCGAAGCGCTCCCAGCAAGCTCCCAACCGCTGACGTGGCGGTGGAGAGCTTCGGAGCTCCCAAGCGCTCCACAAATTTGTGGAGCGCTTGGGAGCTCCCAACTGGGGGAGGATTTACAAAATACCCCCTCAACGGACAGAAATCGGAGATGAGGCGTTCGCTGGCCTTCGCGGAGATGAGGTATGGCGTTCGGGTGGGATCGGAGACTGTGCGGTGGCGTTCGATTCGGAGATGATGGCCAGCTGGGGTTGGGTCGGAGACGATGGGGTTGGGTCGGAGATGATGGCCAGCTGGGGTTGGGTTGGAAACGAAGAAGAGTGGAGGCGTTTGAGCTTGCGATGGAGAAAAAAAATGAAGATGATTTGGGGAAACGAAATGAGCTGGGGAAAAGAAGAAGGGGAGATGACGAAGAGGAGTTGTGATGTATTTTTTAATTGGCTGTGGTGTTGGATGTGGTGTTGATGTTTTTTTTAATTGGCTGTTGAAGTTTGAGCTTGTGATGTATTTTTTTTAATTAGCTTTCAACTTTGCAGTTGATTGAAAAACAGTACCGTTGGGTGAAAAAAATATCCGTTGAGTGAAAATTATTACCGTTGTGTGAAAAAATGACTGTTGAACAGTACCGTATCCAACAGTTAGAAATAAAATACAAGAGGTTTAAATATAATTAAAAGTAATGGGTAAAATATTAAAATAGAAGAGGTTTTTTTTGATATTGTTGGAGCTCCTAACTAGGAGCTTGTTGGAGCTCCATAAAAGAAGGAGTGCCTCCCAAGGCTTAATTTGTTAATTTTTTATTCTAAAATGCTTGAGAGCTCTTGAGAGTATGCTGACTAGGACTCCCATCTGGGAGCTTGCTGCACTTGCTCTTAGAAGCCCAAGGTCTTGCGCCCATTTTGCTGAAAACCCACATAGTTATATAGGTTCTCATATAACTGAAATACAAAGTTTACTTACATAAAATTAAGCGCACACTTAGGGGCTGTTTTGTTGTTGTTGGTAAAGTTGTGTATTTATGACACAACTTGGAAAGTTGTTGTCCACCTCATCAATTTCACTTTTATACTTTTCTTTGTTTGTTTTTGATTCTATTGGAATCATAAATTGTGTCCACCTCATCAATTTCACTTTTATACTTTTCTTTGTTTGTTTTTGATTCTATTGGAATCATAAATTGTTTGTTTGGTTTGCAAATGTAACTTTAAGGGCCTGTTTGGTTGCTGAAGAGAGCTTGGGAAAGCTATCAAAACTGACAAAAGCTGTCAGTTTTGACAGGCTTTCTTGCAAAAACGTTATTTTTTAGGGCGTTTTTGCAAGAAAGCCTGCCAAAACTGACAGTTTTTGTCAGCTTTGGCAGACTTTCTGCCTATTTCAACTCCTCTTTTCAGCAATCAAACGGGTCCTAATTGTTTGTTTGGAAAGTGTAAAAAGTGGTCCCTACTCAAATAATCATATTGGTTGAAATTATTTTTTATTTTTTTTTTCTAACTTCAATGTCAGCTTTCTCCTAAAATCATGTCTTTTTTTATGAAATCACTTTACAAGCCACATCAGCATATGAAATCACTTTACATTATTTTCACAACTACAAACAAACAATTAAAAGTGATGAAACTGACATTGGGACCCACTTTTTTACACTTTCCATCCTTTTATATGGTAAAAATATACAACCAAACAGCCCCTTACATAGTAAAGGTGTACTCGAGGATGCATAGCTATTTACAATGGAGTGCATAATTACATGCTATAGGACGTATATACTATTTGGTAATTTGTAGCTACATACTTTATATTCAATATTTTGGTTTCAAAGATAAATAAACTTTGTACTTTGGGCATGAGAACATATAAAACTATGTGGCGTTTAAAGTAAATAAGAGGGAATTGATGGGTTTATAAAAAAAATTTCATAAACTATAAATTAAATTTAGATAATTAAAAAAATAAAGTAAGGTTTTCAAACCTTTAACTGGCGTGTTATTTGCACTTTGGTACTTGGAAGTTGCAAATTTCTAACTTTGATACAAAAACTTTTTATTTAACACTTTAATATCCCAATCTTTAAATTTTTGCCTCATAGAGTGTTTTCCCAAACAACTTTGATACCCAAAAGTTTACCCAATTTTAATTGAGGTACCAAATTGCGAGACCCTTACATTGAGGGACTTATGAGCAATTTTAAAGATATGATTGACTAATGTTGAATTATTGAAGATTTAGGGAATTAATATCTAAATAATCCTAAACCTTATGTGAATATTTAAATTTGTATGGATAAACCATCTAGGAGTTTTTAAACTTTATGAATTGAAAATCTATAAATCGTTTAGACAAATTTTGGGTTGAAGAATAGTATAAATTTTTTAATTTGAAGTTTATACCTTTTGATCAATTAATAAATATTGAATATCAAGACGTTGAATGATGATGCATGTTGGATATACCCATCAATGAAGAACTGACGGAGATTTACTATTAAATTGATTTCTCCTTGTATCTAAAAAAGAGCATTTCTTGTCCAAAAAAGTACTCTTATTAGGTTTCAAAGTGAAAAAGTAGATAAACGTCGGGTACTAAAGTGAAATAAGCCACTAAATAGTCAAAATATTCTTTCTATATTAATCCCTTACATGTTTTATATTTTCGAATTAGTCCTTCAAATCATTTAAATTGCTATTAGGTCTTCGAATTCTTAACCTGTTCTGAATTAGTCCCTCAAATCATTAAAGTTTCCATCACATCCTTCAAATAAAGAGTAGAACTGTAATTTAAAACAACTTATGAGAATTGAGGGACCTATTTAGAAACTTTGAAATTTTGATGTGCCCCCGGGGCGAACACGTGCAATGCACGTGCTCCTCACTAGTATATGTGTATAAGCGTTCAATTATTATGAGGAGTGGTGTTAGAGGCACAACCCAAACCACACCCTCCACCACACCTCCTCTCCCTCTATAGTACATTGGGCCCCACATCAAATTTTCTAAAAAAATTTGATGTGGGGCCCAATGCACTATAGAGGGAGAGGAGGTGTGGTTGAGATTATGGTTGGGGGTATGCCCCTAACATTTCTATATTATGAGAGAAATACAATGATTGGTTCTTTGCAATATCGCCATTCTCATAGGACTCTCCTGGTCACTTTTCTCCTCCGCACTAATCTGGAAGCTGCTAATTGTCATTTGCCCATAAAATAAGCAAAAACCCCTTATCCTGCCCCTCCTGCTCAATCATTCTCTCTTCCGGTTGCAACAAAAATCCTTGAAAAAATTTGCTATGGCTTTTACTCAGTTTCTACTCCCCGTTCAATCGCCCGCGTCAGTGGCGACCAGCCTCGTCCCTCTTTTCTTCATCTCCTCACCGATCAAGGCCCAACAATCTCCGCACTGCTCCAAGAAAAACCCAATTCCAGGTATTAATTTCATCTAATTTCCCCCTAATATTCCTGCCTGAATAACTGCTAATTAGAACTGATTTCCTTCTTGACCCATTTCAAGAATCAAGTTGGTTTGTTTGGATTTGGGGTCATTTCTTTGTATTTCTTCACTACAGTTAATGGGGGTCTTACTCTAATTAATTAGGTGGCGCTTGTTCAGTAGAACATTGGCATCTTTCTACATTTGATTCTATAGGATCACTAGTTTTGAAATTTGCTTTCTTTTTTTCCGAATTGGATACTGTGGTCTTTATTTTTCTATGTACATATCTCTGTGAGTCTGTTATCCAATTATAACCAATCTAGGTGATGTTTGAGCTCCCCCTTATTTTTGATTTTTTCCCCCGTAAAGCCCACAATGGGCAGTAAGATTGGCGATCTTTGACATCCTGTCCTGATTTGGAACATACTAATCCGTAAAGCCCACAATGGGCAGTAAGATTGGCGATCTTTGACATCCTGTCCTGATTTGGAACATACTAATCTTTTAATTTAAAGTGCAATAAGATTGGCGATCTTTGACATCCTGTCCTGATTTGGAACATACTAATCTTTTAATTTAAAGTGCAAAAGCAGCAGTAAACAAGTAATCCCCATGAAAATATTTTGTGAAGATGATGTGAAGATTGCAGAGTAATGCGCTCTAAGTGAGAAGCAAATGGTTGCTAGTTTTGTATATGTCATTCTATTTGGTGTCTGGAATGTAAGAGTTTTGGTGGGAAATGTGTAAAGGTGTCAAACCGCCATCCTAATGAAAATTCAGAGGTTGAAACTTCTGTTTAACTCTCTTTCTCTCATGTGCATGTCAAGAGCCGGGGGAAAATATATGAATTTTTAGGATTATAAAATAAAAATAGAAAGGATGCTATCGCAACATCTCAATCAAAGGTTTCTTGACAACCCATGCTTTAGTCCATCCCGTCTTAGCAAAAGAAAAAGAATAAGACCTAGTATTACTCTATGCAGCTTACAGATATTACATAGAGAGATATATGTACGTGTCAATAAGTTTCCACTTCAGTTGTGCTGAGTGGGGATATAAATCATACAATTCATGCAATTCATTATTTTAACCTAGCTGTTTTTGAGATGTACGAGGCTAATGCTATGACCCTAGGCTTAGAACGGTGTGAATAATTGCTAAAATTAACTACTAATTAAAAATTAAAGCATCCAGTGGATGCAAAATTTTCCCGAGTGTGTTTTCCCTAGTGGTATGAGAGCCTAACCCAAGTCTTGGAGTCTTGTAAAGAAATCTTTGTAAGTCTTTATCTTTATTAATAATATGAAATTCTAATTTGCCTTCTTTCTCTAATCTCAGTCTCTATTAAGTAATTTAATTACTATTATTCTGTTCTTATTTACTTTGCTTATTAAGCTACGACTAGAGGTAAGAAACGAAACTAGGCTGTGCTCTCTCTCTGAAACAACATGCTAGGATTGTGGTCTTCAGGCTGCAATGGAAGCAGCACCTAGGTTGCTAGATTCGAGTCCTTACTCTGGGCAGAAAGCCACCTTCAGACTTCAGAGAGTATGTGATGAGCTGGAGAGAACAGGGTCAAAACCTTAATAAGTAAAGTAGATATAGAATGGTTATAATAGAAGGTGAATGACATAATATGAGATAGGGAGAGGAGAAAGATACAATAATGTCAAAATTAATCTTAGATAGTCACAGGCTAATTGCTGAGCCAAAGAGCTACAAGCACTTCATATGCCTAAAGACTCTACCGAGTCACCAACAACGCAAGATTTAGCATCTATACTGAACTCTGTCATATATATTGTGTATCCTATAGAAGAAATGAATACCAATATTCTTATTCTTCAAAAACAAATTGAAGAATTAAAATTAAAAAATAAAAGTTCGGAACCTAGTGAAAGACCATTTAGGAAATTCCATTGGATAAATAATTTAAATATGATGTTGAAACGAAGGGTCTATCAGATATCCTTCAGTAGGTTCACAACCAACACCTCCTGTTGGGACAAGATCCTCCTACTTTCTTTAGAATAGGATTATCATACATGAACTTTGAATCCTCTTCTTCAAAAAGAGAAAGATGAGATTTACAAAGTTTTTTGAGGAATGTACTAAGAAACTTCAATACATAGGCCTGCTAGCTCTGCAGGACTCTATTTTAATATAGACGAAAAGAAAGGATAAATAATGTAAATAGATGGACTCAACACATCTTAGGGATCGTCCATTTCTATGAATAGAAAACCCCTGATTTTATAGAATTTGTTACTTTATTTGACGGAATGGCTGCAAATTGGGTAAAATTATATGATATATTATCTGAAACAAATAAAGAAAAAATGCATAAAATAAGTCCAGACCAAGCCTTGTTTGTAATAATGAATCAACTCTGTAAGGATCTTCGTGGGCAACCTATGAATAAAACAGATCCTGATGTAGAACAGAAACTTTTACAAATGAGAGTATGTCAGATCTGTTATATAGAAGAATTTTTAATGGACTATTTTAAATTAGTCAGTCGGTTTGAAAATATGCAACGAATGGATTGGTGGACAGAAAATGTCTTTTAAAAATTACCTAGACCATGAGATATTCTTTTAGAAGAAGCTTATCTAAAGAAAGGCCCTGAAAAAGATAGGTCTAGTAGAAATGTTCAAAATTTCATAATAAGAGAATTAGAACAGTATTGTCAATTGTCTAAAGCTTTTATACAAACTAAAAGCCAATTAAAAGAAAGTGCTCTTGGACAAAATTGTTGTGATAAAATCCAAGGATACCCATTAGAATATAGTTGATTTAAACCATATAGAAAAAGAAAACCCTATAACAAGAAATTTCAGAAACCATATAGGTTTAGAATTTTTTTTTTTCTAAACAACAAAATTGGTCTAAAAAGGTAAAACCGTAGACAAGAAAAAATATACGGTAATACCTCGAGCGTCAAAAAAGACATGTAAGTGTTTCATATGCCAAGAGATTGGCCACTATGCAAACGAATGTCCTAAGAAAAAACAGACCAATGAAATGTTTATAGAGGACTTAGAGGAATTTGATTTAGATCTTGTAGAGATAAATCAACTTTAATTTGATTCTGAAAATTCATATTATGAATTAGTTACGGAATCAGAAAGTGATGAGGAGCTTGATTTTCCTTAAATATATATGATGAATAAAGAATCATCCAGTATATTAGGAGAAGATATAGAGTCTTCTGAAACTGATATACATGATCTCCAGGGGGAAAGATTCTCTATTTCAGATGAGGATATGGAAAGACTAAAAATAGCTATTCCCAAACCTCATCGTCATGATGTTTATAGGAAAACATGTATTTTTAATACCAAATTCCTCAATAAACATTATTATAAGTCAAATAAGAGTAGCCAAAGCAAAAGGAAGCAAAGAACGCAAAATGACAACTCAGAGGGATATGGAGCTGTCTCACAGTTGGTGAGACAGTCTCCACTGTCTCGCGTTTCCGAGATAGTGTAGGCTGTCTCGGATATATGAGACAGTGAGAGCTATGCTATCTCGGATACGCGAGACAGTGAGAGCTGTCTCGCTAATTAAGAGACAACCTCATATTTTCTAAAGGTTTTATGACTTTTTGCAAGGTCGACGTGGCTCCATAACTGTTGGTAAGTATTTATTAATGTTAATGGACGGTTATAGCCATGAAATACGTCCACTACCCACGAAAATTACGGTATTTAACGCAATTTAAGTAATGTGACGGCGGTTACAAACTGGCTGGAACTGGCTCCTTTAACTGAGACAGTTAACACTGTCTCGCCCAAAGAAGGTAGTGATTGTTAGTTATTTCAACTTCTTTTCGACAGTTACGGTTTTCAATGGCTATAAATACCCCTTTGCACACTTGTGCACAGGGCACTGACGAAGAGAGGCTTTTGGAGAGCAGATAGTAGAAAGAACTTGGCATTTGACGAACTTTGAGAATAAGAGAGAGTCCCCCATCCGCTTTCAACCATCTTCAAGAGTTTTTCGGTGTTCCCTTGTGTTCAAACTTGGATTTGATCTTGAGAAGAGTATCTATCTTACCTCTCTAAGATATTTACTTCAATTTTTGTTTCCGCGTCGAAACATCAACTTTCAGCCTCCTTCGTTTCCGACTTGGAACATTGATTCAGTGGTCCATGGATAACGCATCCCCGACATAGGAAAAAATCACATGCAAACAGAAGCTACTATGTAGGAGTTTCTGTGTATTTCTAGGGAACAACACGATTTTATTTTTATTGTAAAGAAAAGTTTTACACATGTAAGGCTCATTCTTTTGTTTCTATTAAACGATTTAATGAAAGCTGCAATAAAAATTATTCTCGATACAAACATGCTAGCGACCACAGTGGGGGCTAACAGTCTCGGCGTCGAGACTGGAGTGTCGCAGCTGATCAAGATCCCTGTCGACTCAACGGTCGAATACGAGTTCGACCAAGCTAAGTTCGACGAGTATCTCTCCTCATCTTCATCAAGGTCTTCCTCTCCCCGCAAGTGCAGGAAGATTTCGTCTTCGAATAATGTTTTTCGGTCTTCAACTCCAGTGAAGGCTATGAGTGATGACTCTCGCCCAATAGTTGTTGAGTCTTCCCTTCGCAACACTACTCCGACAACCAACAAAGCCGGAAGCTCTGCTCGTAACGACTCCTTCCCAGTTAAGGAATCGCCCAATAAAAGTTCGTCAATTCTGACGAAGAGGGCTCATCAGAGACAACGCAAACGCTAGACTCGTCAGCTTGCTAAGGCCTTGGAACAGGTTGATGGAGTTCGCTACTACACGGATTTGGAGTCAAGGAAGCGTCGAGCATTCCAACCACTTAAACATCAAGTCGCTGACGTTTCCTCCTAGCCATCGACGTAGGAATGAGTGCTCGTCAAAAGGACTCGTTTGACGAAGAAGGAGCGTATCCAAAAGCGTTGCGCACGCTCGTGCTCTTGTGTGAAAGGCACAAGAATTGAAGAAAGGGGGTGGCTG